TAATATTTAATATTTTGACCAGTAACTTCATGTTCCCGTTAATATTCAATATATTTACCAGTAATTTGATATTTCCGTTAATACTCAATATTTTAATCATTAACTTCATATTCTCGTTAATATTCAATATTTATATCAGTAACTTCATGTTCCTTAATTTTATGTTTCCGTTATTACTAAAAAAAATTGTTATCGCAAATTAATATTCCAATACTTGCAAAAAAATATATATAATAATTTAGCTTCAAATATTACTATTAAATTGTCAAATTAAGTTTAAATAGTTAAAGTTTCAATGTGTAATATAAATACTTTTAATGATTTATTTCAAACTCAAACAATTCATTCTTCTTTAAAAATTATCAATTTAGAATCCTACCACTAATTAGTTATGTGTAAATTTATAATTAGACAATATTATATTTTATTAAAAAATATATTTTAATAGCTCATAAATAATATGTATTAAATTCAATTATTCTTTTTTAATATATTCAATCAATTTTAAATTGTATTTAATAGATATGTATTATTGGTATAAAAAAGTTGTTAATTATTAATTACAGGAAAGAAGTCAACTTCAAACTTCTTTGGCAACCTCTCTCAAAAAACAAATCTAATTTTTTTATCTCTTCATCTTTCAGCAACCGATAATTTAAGGTCAATTAAAAAGAGAACTTAAAAAAAAACTCTGTAATTTTATTGTTTTGTTTCTATCTTGCAGTATTTACTTTGTAGATAAAAAAGTTGAAGTTACTGGTATGAAAGTTTCAGCACATGTTTCGAAATCACCTAAGAGGTCTTTTGATAAAAAGCATAATAGATGACATAATAGCATAGATGTTCAATGTCCTCTCAAATCTAGCTGAACTGGAGATATTTTACGCATACCTCATATGGTAGCTATTTAGAGTTTACAAATCTGTCTATTATTCAATGTCCTTGGTGAAGGATTGTGCAAGTCATTATTACCATATCAAAGTGGGATCTAAGCACATGCTTCACAATGGTAGACTTTCGAGATATATATATATATATATATATATATATGTAGACATGTCATATTTTCTTATTGTGCGTAAGCGTTCTCCCAAAGTCAGACATTTGCAAGATTACAAATATTTCTAATGAGTCAGGATTGTAATAAGAAGAAGTGGAAATGATTAAAGAATATATGCTTAGTTTTCATATATTTAATTTAAGTTCAACCGCGCAACGTGTGAGCTATATTCTAGTTGTTACTTAAAGCACTACTCAAATTAAATTTAAGAGTCTAAACCTTATAAATTGGAGAATTAGAAGCATGACTGACAACTTACCTCTACCACGGAATTTTCAAATAGGTAATCAGGTACCTCTACCACTCTTAAATCTGCATGTGAATCTGCATGTGAGGCATATATAATAACCACTAAGTCATTAGCCAAACTTGCTAGACTTGGGTAGCTAGACTTGGGTACTTAGAATTTCTCAAACTTACAAACACATTAGAGCACCTTAATGAATAACTTTCTATAGAAAATTGTACCAACCCAATATGTAAAAACTGATATTTACTTTGAAGCATTCTAATGTCATCTCTTGATAGCAAATATATTTGAATTAGAAAAATCATCCAAACTATCAACACCAACTGAGAGGAAAACAAAAACATATTCAAACAGAAAACAACAATAAGCATTGGTAATAGAATTAGCCAGGACAGAAGGCAGATTTGAGGAGCATCTCATCATCATGCTCAATATGCAGATTATTGGTTTCCATTAGAATATCAATTTATTCGCTTTTAAATTTCAGAAAGAAATCGAATACAGGATATTACACAGTTCAGCTGGTAAGCCCTTTAGCACCAAATAAACAGTCTCTGGTTTATAATCAAACCAAATTTGGCACGTGCTATTAGTATGCACCATGTATCCAAGGAACATGCAATTTTCAAATCAAAATAACTATTCTGGGCATCATTAGTTTCTGCAACTTTTAAGAGCACCACCAACTTTTATCATCGAATAATCACCATAAATCATTATTTTATCAGCACTGCCAACTTTTATCATCGAATATTCTGGGCATCATTAGTTTCGGCAACTTTCACCTGGTTGATCTGTTTAATCTATGTCCGTTTGGATACTTTCGACCCCGTGGACAGAAGAAGAATCACTACGGGTCCTTGTTTCTTATTACAGACAAATACACAATAAATCCAACACATGCCAATAGATCAAAAATCAGCAAAATAACTTGCATTTGATAAAATTCTCATCCTCTCTTGTGGCTTCTGTCTGGACTTCTCTACTAATGAAGCCCTTTGAAGTGTGGACAGAGCATTTGTATATCATTGCAACGACACCAATTCACATAGCTAAAGGAAAAAACACGAACAAAGAGAGTTAATAACCAAACACGCAATTTAAAATGTTGAAAAATACAATACGTAGATCGGCGAAGTAGCACAAATCTATCTTGCGGACATTAACAAAATGATCCAAAATAGTCATTTCTTCAATACCATCTCCATCCCTTTAGTAATATCATGCAATTTGTGTTCCTGTCATTCCCAACCAATTTCTATCTCATAACTATATGACAACAAACAATCAAGTTAAAATTAAGAAACAAACTTTATGGATATACATTGTTTTGATAAATGGGATGCATAAAAACCTACGGATAGACAACCAAAATATTATAAATCATATAAATTTATATTACCCTTACTTCTTCTCCTTGGTGCATGGGAGAAAACTTCATATCTAGCAAATGGTTACAGTACTATTATAATAGTACAAAATTCATTGAGATTGTTTAAAAATAGTACATTTCAACAATCTAAATAATTTCAATATGGTTGTCAATAAATACAGTCCTTTTCCACAGGGTAGAGTCGTATTTGTCGCGGTTGGAAGAAATCAATAATATATTTATGTGCAGGGAACAAAAAAACTAATGAAATCTGATCAAATAAGTTTGTATATGACTCTAATGAAATCTCAAACTGAATGATTATGATAAGAACTTAAAACAATTCACATTAATATTTTTTAAAAAGAGTATTTGAATTATATATCAAATCAATACCTCAAAATGCATTAATTGAAAACAGAACATCAAAATAGAAGTTGTTATAAGATGTTATAAGCTGTCAACAATCTATAATAGAATTTGTCAAACAAAATAAAATTATGAAATCGACGCCGCGGCTATGTAAGATCAAAACATTATTTACCAATTTTTTTTACCATAATCTTTCTACTGGAAACAGGATGGAAACACTACTTCCAAAACAGGAACTCTGCACACAACAGAATGGAAACACTCTTTGGTGGAAGTAATTGTCGATACGTGTTGCGTTTCCATGCAACCTCAAGTTTCCCACAACTTCAACTACAAAAAACATCAAATACATCAGTTAAAAGTGAATGTGTTATAATAACTAATTGGAGTTCAATTAATCAGCATTTACACTGATCCTAGCACACTAAAGCATCCACATATCAAAAAATACTTCACTATCTGTAAAGAAGAAAAAAACTCAGAAATACATTTTGATTCCATCTAATAAAATGCTCACCTATGAAGTTCTTCCGCGGTTTTATCAAGAAAATAACGATAAAAATTGTTCACTTCTTCATGGACAACTTCACTTTTGGTACATCAAGTCTTTCACAGAATTCATTACAGATGGGTAGTTAAAAACCTCAGTACCTTGCTCACAGTAACCAAATGACCATTCATCCTCTTCATAAACCTATAAAAGCATTAGAAGAACGAACACTTTAATGATTGTTTATCATTTCCTGCATAATATAAGGCATCCAATATATAGATTCAATAGCCAGAACAATTTCTCCAACATAAACCTGGCTTCATCTTCCGTCAAGGTATCCTTTCTCATAAGTAGAGTCATCATGTCTCCACCCGCTAGATACTCCATAGTAAGATAAAGATACTCATCATCTTGGAAAGAACAATAAAGTTTGACTATGCAATTGCTGTTAACCTCAGCGAGTACATTCCTTTCCGCTTTGACATGTTTGACCTAAAAAAATTCACAAAAGAGGGGATAAGTATGAATCATGATGCCTTTATTAAACTCAAGCATAAAAATTGCTACTCTCTTGAATAACATCATCTAGTAAAACAAAAGATCGTAAATCTGGCCTCTACGAAGCATCTTTGATTTCTTTAGCTTTTTCATTGCAAATACATGATCAATAGTCTTCTCTCTGCAGACTCTAACCTGCAACAAATTCAAATTTTAGGAAGAGCCAAATTGTTTCTGACAAAGACATATAAAAGAAAATACAAAAGAAAAACAAAATCAGTTGGGAAGTTCTGGAAGCTTTACATACAAAAATATAAGAATGAACTTGTGGTTCAAGAAAAAAGTGGATGTTTCAGTAAAAAACAATCTACAGACTGTTCAGGACCGCTGGGATATATGTATTTGGAGTTTTTGTAAGAAAGAGAATGGAGAAAATAAACACTTTCCTTCATAATAATTTCTAACTGTCTATCATTCGCGATGGCCAGTTTTGGTTTGGGAAGCCATGTCAGGCCGATCGTGTTTGGTTAGTTGGGAAATAGGAACGATGTTAGAGTTAACACGTTGTTGCAATCGCAAATCTACCACAAAGAAACCGAACGCCGCAGATCTAGGTTTTAAAAAATCAAATCAAATTCAACAATATGTATAAGATTGCAAAAGCATCAGAGTACCTTGTGATCACTGGAGTTGGTATCAAAGACATCAAGCTTGCAAACAAAGCATGGATTTTCCCCGGACAAATCTACACCGTCTTCGACCTCTCTCCGGCCAACTTCGGGTTTCACAACATAGTAATTTCTTGATCTTGTCCACCTCCTTGAAAATGGATCATAACCCGCGTCCCATTCTTTCAAACTGGTTTTTGTTGGCCTTAATTCAGAAGCATTCTTGAAGTTCTCAACCCTGTTTTTTCTGTTCATTTCAGGCAATTTCAGAGCTTTGGCGTCATTCATCACTGTTTGTATTCCTCTTCAAGTGGAGCAGAGTCGCTTACCTTCCATTTCCGTTTTGTGGGAGTGGAAGAAATGGTGGTGAAAGTAATGGTTTTGGGGGTTAAGGTTTGGAAGAAACGGGGATAGTTGGTGGATAGAGAAACTATGTGGCGGTTGTAGGAACGATTTAGAACGCGCACAGAATAGGAAGAGGAAGAGAGAGGTAGAGCAGATGAATGAAAAACGTAACCGCTATACAGAGGTAGTGGAATGAGGAGAAGTACAAACGGTTGTGGAAGAAAATTTTGGTTGGAACAAAAATTTAGTTTGTCTAACACACATGAAGCCATGTGTTATGTTTTTGGAACAAAATGACAAAATAGAGTTTTTAGGTAGAATGAATTTTCTGGTTGAAGACCAACAATTGCAATGATCTATCCCCATCACGATGAAATTTCAAAGATTACCCGGGCCTGTCGGCCAAGGCTATAGACTCGTTGAATACATCAGTGTAACGCGCGTGCGGCCCAGAACATCTAAGGGCATCACAGACATGTTATTGCCTCAAACTTCCGTGGCCTAAGCGGCCATAGTCCCTCTAAGAAGCTGGTCGTGGAGGGTTACCTCCACATAGCTATTTAGCAGGCTGAGGTCTCGTTCGTTAACGGAATTAACCAGACAAATCGCTCCACCAACTAAGAACGACCATGCACCACCACCCATAGAATCAAGAAAGAGCTCTCAGTCTGTCAATCCTTACTATGTCTGGACCTGGTAAATTTCCCCGTGTTTGATGGTGAAATCTAGATTATAAATATGGTTCTTTACTTTAAAGAATCCTCTATAACCAATGGTTAACAACAATTAGTGGATTTGAGATGAATTTTCTTGAGAGAGAAAGAGAAAATAAATGTTATGGTTTTAGGTGGAACTTTGTGCATATTAATTTGAGTGTAGGCTAGATTTGAGAGAAAGCCTCACATGATCAAATAGAACAATAGTAGTGTTAATGATTTCAACAATATTTAAAAGAGATAATGTGGGTTAGGGTTTGGTAAATAAATCAAAATAGATAAGTTGGAATTGATAAGTAATGAGTGAATTTGTCCCAAGTTCTTAAAAAAAACATAATTAAAAAATATAGAAATTGTATGTCCGTTAATGAAAATATATTAGTTTCATGTTTTAAAAACTCGATTGATCATCAAATTGATGAGGATACTGAAACATTAGTTTATTGGTTGAACCGCTACATAATTGATCGAATCGTATAACTAAACCAAATTAAACAAATAAATAGATTGAAAATTTTCTAATTACAAATAAGAGAAAATTATTTCAAATAAAATTTAAATAAAATTTAATTATATTTTTATTTTATTTTATTTTTTAAATTATCAAAGAAAAAACATGCATTTAACCTATTGGTTTTTTAAAACTGATTTATCGTTTTTATCGATTTTATCTAATTCTCACTGATTTAATAGCATATTCAATCCAACAATTTGATCAGACCGATTATTCTTTTAATTTTCGATTTGACCAATCAATTCAGTCGAGTGTGTAAAACACCGACTCTATGTCTACGAAAACAAGATTTACGCATGTAACTAAGTCATAAAATTCTCCAAAGCACCACGCGAGAGCAAACTTTACGCAGGTGACTAGGTCATAAAATGAAATTTTTTCAAAGATTATAATACTAAAGACTTTCAAACCCTAAGATTACCAATCCTAAGATTCTTCAAGATTATGACATTATAAGACTTTCAAACCTTATGATTACCAATCCTTAAGATCCTTATGATTACCAATCCTAAGATTCTCCAAAAACAGATTTAAGATTTACGGATCTTCCACTAAACTTTTGAGGAAAATTATATGTTTTGTAGTGTAACATAATGCCTGTATAACAAGGATCCTCAAGGTAAAATATATTAACCTTTTGACATTCAAAAACTCATTAACTTCAGTGTGACGTGTACACTATCTCTAGCTAGAATTTTGGAAGAAAAAAAATCGATTTTAAATGGAAAATGTTGGTAGTAGTTATTAAACAATATAAGGGTCATTCTAACATGTGTCTTTAGACACATTTTTAGAATTCTATAATTAAAATAAGAGTAAGAGTTAAATATATTTTTAATCCTTATAAATATTTTTAATTTTAATTAAAAAAATGATAAATTTTGATTCTTAAAAAAATTTTGTTCATCCAATTTTAATCCCTGTTATTTTTTAAAATTTTAAAAATTATTTAATTATTCTTAAACTTTAAAGTTTTTAAATAATATTTTTCATACGTATTTAAAATATTATAAAATGTTTCTTTATTAAATTTTAGAATTTCTTAAAATAAAAAGAATTAAATATGATTTTTTTAATTTCAAAAGATATTGATAAAAATAATGAAAATCTCAACTTAAAAATTAAATTTTGAATTTCTTTTTTTTCAAAGAATTTTTTATAACGTTCTAAACATATCTACAAAATAATCATTTAAAAATACACATTAGTTTAACAACAAAGAGTAAAATTACGTACATAATAATTTTATAGAAACTAAAACATGTCATTATTTTAATAAGGACTAAAAATAAAATTTAAGATATTTATAGAGATAAAAAATATATTTAACCCTTAAAAAAATTTAAATGCTCTAAAATCATATTTAGAATTTCAAAAAATTGAATACACGTATTCCAAAAGAATATTACTACAAATAATTTATTAACATATACCTGTGACCTAAGAATACATGTAAGCATTTTCCAAAATATAAATAAATATCTAGACATTATTAAATTACACTGTTATACTAATATTTATCTATTGTTACATTATTACATGACTCAGTAACTTTAACTTCGCATAAAATATAATGAATCTACAAAATGTTTTATTAGAAAAGGTTTTATAATATTAAAGAAACGGATTCCTTCATTTTCTTGATGCTTTGACGATAGAACTTGAAGGTTTGTTTAGGTCCAATTTTTAAGTTGGCTTCTAGTGAGAGAAGATCCATGTTAGGATGCCAACATTAGAAAACTCTGATCATTGGCAGTGAAAAGAATCTGGGACCATTCTTCTACTTCAGTACAGTATGTAAATGATTCAATTATGTTTTAGAATCCTTCAATAGAGCACAATTGTTATCATCAAGCATTTCTTATAAGTTGGCATTTCAACCAAATGGCAAGAGATAAGTAACAAAATATGCAGTAACATGGTGCGTACTTGTTCTTAGTTATTCAAACATGATTATATAAAACATTCAAATCAACAATGTAAAAACCTACTTTTAACTAAAAATAGAAGCTTAGTTATGGGTAGAAACAACCTCCTTGCAGAAGGATCCGTCAATCTTTTCAATCAAGCAAGTCGGAAACTGGACTCTTCCTAAATCCATCAACTTGAGTCAACATGTGAGCCAAAGTTCTGTTGGGAAATATATTATCAGCCTTCAACCTGTCCCTAATTCCATAAGCTGGAACCTTGGCATTTATGTAGGCCTCTATAAGAACATGGTACTGCCTCATTCGACCCGCGTAACCAGCTTGTTTCATTCTATAGAAAATCTTTTCCGAATTATGGATGTCACCTCTCTTAGCATACTGCTCCAGAATAATGATATAGGAAGAAAATATTGGCTTCATCTGACTCTGCTGGATTGCCTTCTGCAGAATACTATCCGCCTTCTCCACTTCCCCTGCTTGGACATAAAGTTTCACTAATGCATCCCAAGTCAACGGACCTATTCGACACCCAATATCTGCCATTCGCTTAACAAGATCCTTGCCCTTCGCTAGCATGTTGTGGTTTGCATAAACCTTCAGTAGTACTGAGCAGTTCTTGGATGAAAGCTTCCATCTTTTTGACATCATCTCAAAAACTGCCTCTGCTTCATCAATTTTCTTCAACTTCCCCCAGGCTTCAATTGCAGACATACACTCCTCAATCCAAGGGCGTGTCTCGCAAACCTTCCAAACTCTTTCCACTTCATCGGCCATTCCCAAGTTTGCATATAGAGTAAGCAAAATTCGACATACCCATCGATTTTCTTTCAGGTTTTCACCTTCCATTTCCTTCAATATTGTTTTAGCTTTATCAACAAGACCAGCTGTTATGTAATGCCGCACCAAAACTGCGTTTGTTTGGATGTCCGGTTCAATATCCGCAGCCTTCATTTTATCAACAATTTGTTCCATTCCAGCAATATCATTGGACTGGCCTTTTGCATCTATTAAGATTTTGAAAGTCAAAGGAGAAGGTTTGACATTCTCGTGTTCCATCAGCAATAAAACATCAGCTATTTTCTTTTTGTCATTCCTCTTATACAGAATTAGCAACTGATTGCATGCAAATGCTGTCAGAGGAAACTCTAAATCCTTCATTTTATTAAAAATTTCCTCTCCTTTCTTCAAATTGTTCTGAATAACACAGTTAGCCAATAAAGTTCGGTACATTATCTCCCCTCTAAAAGATTCTGGAATACTCTGGATGTAAACTTCTGCCTTATAAAGGCCATGCAATTTGGCAATTAAATCAAGTTGGGAAGCATAATCCTTTTCAACAAATTCAAGATGCTTTTTCAACTCAACCCACTCCGAGAGCTGCGAAATCAACAAAAAAATAATTATAGATAAGATTGCATTGGAAAACATCATCACGTAAAATTAGGAAAAAAATACAAAACAAACTGCATTGTTTTTCAATTGTGGTCCAAAAGGCAAGTTATGGACAGAAATAATATGGTTTTTGAGGTCTCTGCAAAAACAAACTCAGCCATGTTAGCAACATTATGATCAAACACCACATTACACCCAGTCACACATGTGAGAAATAAAAGTGTCGTATGTGGCCTACAAAGATGCAACATCTCATGTTAGTTTTCATATCAACACAAGTTACGCAACACCAAAGCTACTCAGCTTCATATTAGTGAAATATATTCTCTGTTGGATCTTTTCAATGTTAAGCTATAATTTTAATATAGTAGCAAAGCAGCACCATCAATAGTGCCTTGTATGAATCGTGTCCAGTGTTATTAATTGCTTCTGGTATACCATGGGGGAAAATAAAAAATCTACCAATTTAAGCCACCATCTCCTACAAAATGCCATGATGCCATGGAAGTTGTCAAAAATCCACTTCTTTCCAGACCTTCCTCAACCTTTTTTGACCTCCGTCTAGGTTAACCAGAAGAACCTCTTGCCCTGTGTTTTGATGCTAGCATGTGTTTACTTTTAATCCTCGTGTACATCTAGGTTGCAGTGTTCTTTGATTCTATTTGGCAGTGCGTAATTGAAACAAATTTTGTCAGGTTTAGCTTAAAAGGGGTGTTACATGC